GAGGCACGATAATAGAGCCCCATGTGGGGAATTACAAAGAGGCTCTCTCCAGGGCAAAAACTCTGCACAACTCCACTCTGCTGTAAGTTCCAAACTTTCTTTCAGCAGAAAGTGGACAACATTCACCTGCAGCTCCGTCAGACTGGCGCTCCATGTCCACCTGCCTTTCACCTAAAGTACTGCAACTCAACCTCTTCTGCCTATCCACATCAGTGCTTCCTCTCCTCATTCTCACCACTCAGCAATAACCAGGTCATGGACTTTGTGTCAAAAGCTAAAACCACCACTAGCAAACTGGACCCCATGCCCATGGCCCTGGTAAAGGCATGTCTGCCCACACTCTGCCCTACCATGACCGACATCATTAACACCTCCCTTACATCTGGTGTGGTGCCCTCCAGTTTTAAGACAGCTTTTAAATGACATTTAAATGACAATTACTGCCCAATCTCCAACCTACCCTTCCTCAGTAAGATTCTGGAAAGAGCAGTGGCTGCTTAACTACAACACATGTCCCACCATGAACTCTATGAACCCCTCCAATCTGGCTTTTGACCCCACCACAGCACGGCTCTCATTAAGATCAAGTTGTGAAACTTTAACTTATTTTGCACATAGCAATTCCAGATTAAGCCTTTAATTGATTTTTCTTTAATTTCGCAAAGCCATTTTTGAAATAGTTTCAACTAGTCATCGAGCCTCTTTTCCTTGGTTATCTGCGTGATTGCCAAGTCACCTCTGAACACCACCCAGCAGGCCCACAGTCACCCTCTGAGCCAGAGTGTTGCAGTGAGACCAAAGGAGCATCCAAAGGATGCATAACGCGTTGGTTTTTGCATTCAGGGCTGTGTGCTGTGACTCCTGGCCTGTCCTTCATCTGATTTTGGTCCTCTTCAGAGCTGAACCTCTCAAACCAGTAGCTTGGACCTTCAGAACCTGCTCCATCCTCTCCATGGACCATCAATTCAGATAACCACATCCAAATTTATCTTTACACTAAAGTTAATGTAGGTTAATATGTTGAAGCATATTCACTCACGATCATTAACTTTACTAGTCTGAGCCTGACCCAGAATCTTTCATTCATCTGTTATTATCTATATTCATCTTATCCTCATTTGTTGCATGGATGTTGTACCATCATTTATCCTGTAATAAACCAATCATTTATTCTTCTTGTCTGTTAGTGTTCTTCAAGAAGTCAAGTCCCTGAAACGAGAATTTCGGCTTGAGAAATGAGATCGATTCATTTAAGATTAACTTAATGTTTGATTTCTGAATTTAAACTTGTTTTTTTCTCTTTATTTGCCCACCATTAAAGGTGGGTGGTGCCCCTTTCAACGAGTGCATAAATGTCATAAATTAGGATTATTATCAAATAATCTTAAGACATTTATTATAAATTTAAATCGCTACAGCAGTCTTGGGCTTTGTTCTCTGGTAATTTCCACCTTTGAGATGGCCTTTAAGTGTGTGTATATGGGTTGGTGGACATCAAAGCTCACATCTAGACAAGAAAAAATCTGCAATATGACATTACCCTTCGGCATAATGTGTCCATGGTGTTTATTTTTACATTAGTGGACTTATTCAGATACTTGGTAATAACTCTGGACAATAAAATTAACCAAGCTGAAACTCAAAACTGTCAGAATCCACAAACTGAAAGGACAATATGTTGCACCCAACCTCCTGCTGCTACTTTTTTTGTGACCAACTTTTTATTTCATTTTTCATTTTTCATACATACCCACCCTCCCACCCACCAGACCCCCAGAGAGCAAGGCATTATATCTTGCATTGTACAATGTTCTTCCACATACAATTGCTAGTATTTGATGGGATGGAAACCAGCAATAAATAGATCGTATATAAGAACAGGCAATATAAACATGATACAATGATACAATATACATATATACATATACACACGCATGTATACCTATGTACACACCAGTGGCGATTGCTCTAAGACTGCAAGGGAAGCTCAGCTTCTCTTAAAATGTCACCCCCCAAAAAAAAGAAAAAGTGGTAAATACGTACTGCTGTGTGTACATTTCATTAACTAAATACGCGCTAGAAAGCCTTCATCTTTTGTTCAGAATCAGCTTCTTATCACACTGTGATAAGAAGCTGATTCTGCACAACTTCGTTCTCATTCATCCTCGCAGCGCCTCAGCGCTTTAAACAGCCGGACGCTCGGCTTCTGCTGACTTCAATGTGGAAGCTCAAAGTTGGTTGTTCCAGCAGTGAAACTAGATGCTCATTGGATAAATGCTGGGCTTTGTCCCGCCCATCGGACGCTCGGCGTCTCTGGAGTTCTATGGCGAGAGGGCGGTCCCAACTTTCTCCCGGACTCCAAGCTTCTGCATCCATGATTGGATGAGCTGTCTGAGGCGAAATCCTTTTTTGATTGACAGCTAAATAAGCGAATCAGCGATCTTGAAGAATAAAACATCTACCAAAGCATTTTCCAAGTTATTCATTCCGTTGTTCTTAACTCCTCAGCGACTTTTGTCTTTGTTAAAAATGACTGCCGTTGTGTTTGGCGACTCTGTTCTGTTACATACAAATAAACAAACACAATTATGATGTAGGCCAGAAAAATGAGCTTCCCCTCCTTGAAAGACCAGCAGCCGCCTCTGGTACACACTTATATATAAATAAATATATATACATACATGCCACTCAAACTCAATATATATAATATCTTAGGCAAATAATCAGAGAAGGTATAAAAGGGGTAATGCTAAGGGAGTAGAGATTTAATCTTTTCAGCTGCACTTAATAATATTTGAATGGATTTGGTTTTTGCTTTTTGTGCTCTGGCACTTGAAGCCTCTAGCCTCAGTGTCTCATAGAAGGACAGTTTCCAGCGATAAGTACTGAGGTTATGGGGAGGTTTCCATCTCACCACCAATATTTTCTTTGCTGCTGTCAATCCAGCCAAAAGGATCCTCTTGCTGCTACTTTATCAATGTATCATTTAGCCAATCCTCCTGTAGAGCTCCTCATGTTTCTTTACCATGAAAAATCTTGGACCTATTTTGCACCTTGCTTCAATGTCTAGATTTAGTGGTGGACATTATGTCCAAATTACGTGATAATGTAAATATCAATGCAAACGTCAAACGCCAATACTGACATGATCTGCACGTCTCTCCGACGTCCAATGTTTGTTGGATCTAATCACTCTCATGATAACCCAATAAGCAGGTAAAGAAGCTTGTGATTGTGGATGTCAGGGAATATAAACACCCTAGGAAAGTTAAGGGCCTAATCTAGAGACAGAAAACAAACTTTAAATCATCTCTGTAAACTCACATTTACGTTTTCCTGTTGAGCTGTTTCTGAGAACAGAATCACAAGGAAAAACAGGGATTTTTAGCATAGAAACATGAGCTCATCTGTAACAACCATTAAAAACTAAGTCAGCAACTTTTCACTCTGCTGTTTCACTCCTACTGCATATTTTCAGGAAACCGAATTCTTACTCAGCAGTGCTGCTGTATATGTGATCAGGTTAGCGTAGCTGATTCAGAACAATAAAGTGATTCAGAAAAATCACAGTGACAGGTAGTATGATGGTCAGAGGGTCAGCGTCAGCCTCTCCACTGCTGCTGAATGCCCACGGACAGTTACGGAGCAGCCGTTTCCTTTGCAGTGACGTCCACCTGACTTAGACTCCATGACTCAGCATTCAGTGTGAAGGTCTCATTAATCTAGGCCACTTAAGGTGATTTTCCAGTTAGACTTGTTTTCTAATGAGGCAGAGCAGAGCAATTAGGTGACTAGGGTTATGGCAGCACTGTGCTTTTTTAGGCGTACAGTAGTGGACAAAATCTAGCCCACTGTCTAAACTGTGAAAGAGTCATTAGATAAATAGATGACAACAAACCAGACAGCGTCAAGGGCTCTGAGCTTAGACACTCCACATTTATTCCTAAGTACTGTCTTACTAAATGTGTGGCCACAATTATCGGTTTAATGATTCTTTATGCTTCTAGGCACCAATAAAACCTGACAAGCTGTCATAAGGTAGTGGAGACTGGGGAAGGGATTACAGTGGGCTCAAAGTGGAAGGAAAAGCAAACAAGAGACTCAAGAAAGAATAGAAAATCACTGGTAGTTTTTTTTTCAGTGTCTTAGCAACCTGTATTTGTAACTCTCTCAGAGTAAACCTAATTTCTGTGGTCAGTACAGCCAATCACCTCCCAATCAACTCTCACTTTTCAGCACTTTGCATGTATGTCTAGACCCAGAAGGTGTTAGCAATGGGTTTGGTGAGCGTGGGTGACTGTGTGCCTCCAGCCAATGATTCATCTCACTATTATTGTATCAGCTGACAGGTTGACTTTGATTTTGGGGTGACACACTGAGTCTGACCCTGCCCCCCCCCCCCTTTTTTTTTTTTTTTTTTGCTATCCATGATCACATAATCCATTTTACTTTGGAGCTGTTTTTTTTTTAAAGCAACACCACATTAGATCAATCTGATCTGGATAGAAACTTGTCAGGATCACCAAATCTGGATAACCAGAGCTCAAATAGGAAAGGAAATGAACAATGTAGAACTACAGATATGTAAAGAGCAACAAATGGAATAGCCAGCGTGGGGTCAATACAAGTTTATTTTTATTTGAAATGAAAACACACACACAAAAGAAACACCCTCTTCCGGCAGTCTGCTCATCTGAGACCTACAACAAATAAATACAAACATTACTCTCAAACACTGTACATTGAGGATATTTAGAACAAGTTTTAAATATAGATGTAATGAATTCAATAAAAAGGCTTAATGTCAAATATTCAACAATAACTTCAGAGTTCTTCATCTGATGTGGAGAGGCCAGCTTGTCTGAGCTTGGCCTTTGGGAGGCGGATCTCAAGTCTGGCCTTGGTTTGCTAGGTGAGAGTAAGTTGTTCACCTGCAAGATGAATCTGTACTTCTGCCCATTCAGTCTCTTTTTGCAGAAGTTCCTTGTAATCATCATCATTTTTTGGATCAGAGAGCACAGAGAGGAGGAACTGGCTGACTCTCCTCCTCAATCCCAGGCTTGCCATCCCCAACAACACCTTGAATACCATGCAGAGCTTGCGACTTTTCACCTCCAATGATATGGAGGACAACATCTGTGTAATCTCCCCTTTGAAAGGGCTTGTTGCGTGTTTGTGGGTTTTTGGCTTCAGCATGGTCCATTGTTACCCTGGCCTTAAGATTCTTCCATCCAAATTTTATTTGTCAACACACTACCATTTGTTTAATTCTGGAAGTTAACCTCAGCAGTGGATCTAAAATACATTGTTCACAAACTACTAAAGCGCTGTCCCCACGTCATCACACTTTTTACAATTAAGTTTCCCTAATTATTCATATTAAAGCAAACACACATTTTCATATTTATTTGAAGAAGTCCGAGCAATGTCACTGTCTACTTCCCTTACCATCTGGACCAGCTCGACTGGAGATGGTTGCTGATGACTCATGCTCTCCCCTCTCCCTCTCACTGTCTGGGTCCTGCACATTGTCTTGTCTCTCCTCTGCCTTCTCATCGGAGATGTTCTCCCCTGCTCCACATATTCTTCTCCCGCCACCTCCTTATGTCCCTGGTCACCTTGGCCTGCTGTTCTACTACTGTGACATTTGTCGTGCCTTTCTCTCCCTTCTTTCACTTTCTCTTCATCTTCCCTCTGTCCTTCCAACTCTTCTCTCTCTCCGTCCACCTGGTCTCTCTCTTCATCCTTCTTGTCGTGTGTGTCTACCTTGTTTTCTATTTCTCCCACCTATTTCTTTGTCTTTGGTGAAAAAAAAAAACTTATAATGTTGCCTTTCCTCTTCATTTCTGCAAGATTTGGAGTTATTTTATTTATGTTACCCTGCCAGATATGGAATCAATATTAGCTTTCATAGCCTACACAGGATCTAGCTGCTGATGCACATGTAGCCTAGCTTAAAATTAGCAAAATTACATTCTTCAACACAATCTCAATATCAGCATTGCCGCAGTGCTAGCACTGTGCCTTTATTACAAATTCATTTATTGATAGTTAATCAGTTTTTACCTCGTTCCTCTCGTGTCTCCTTTTTTGCGACTCCTGGCTGGCTCCTTAGCTTTTACCAATTAAAAAAGTCCCTCCTCTCGCTGGCACACCACCACAACACCAGCTGCGTCGCGACCCCCGCTCTGATGCAATCTCATGCTGCATTCAATGCAGTTGGAAAATGGAGATTCACACTCATAAATGTCAAATTGGCCATTTAATTTGTCGCTGCCAACTGAGGTGGCAAGCCTGTCTTTTAGGGTGGCTTTTGCCACCCCATGCCACCCCGGTAGATCCGCCCCTGATCGCAACCATGCGCTATGTCCCTATCTGTACTGACAGATTGTTTTAAACAATGATAAATTAACACAAGATGGCTTAATATTTCCACGTTATAACTTAAAACACCCTAAGGAGCAGGTGAAGCTGATTGCCAATCAGCAACTCCATCTGACAGATCTACAGAAGGCAAAAGAGGGAAAAACACATACAAACAACAATAGCCATAACAGATGCACTGGACATCTACACAGCCACATGCCTACTTCACCATTACATGAGCTGTTGTTGTTGCTGTTGTTTCTGGTGTCCCCTGTCTCTCTCTCTCACCCTCATTCTCTACTCTCTCTCCCTCCCCCTCCCTACTCATTCTCTCTCTCCTTCCCCTTATCTTGTTCTCTCTCTCTCCCCCTGCCTTCTCCCCTCTTCTCTCTCTCTCTCTCCCTCTCTCTCTCCCTCCATCTCTCTACATTCCTCCCCAACCCAGCAGCGGCATGGTGGCTGTCTGGCATGAGTCGGGTCCTGCCCAAGTTTTCTGTTAAAAGGAAGTTTTTCCTTGCCACTGCTACTCATGTTAATTGAGATGGGCCAAAACCCATCTTAGGTTGGTTCTTGATCATCAAACAATGAGCGTGGTCTAGACCTGCTCTTGTTCTTTAAAAAGCGTCTTGAGATGACGACTGTTGTGAACTGGCGCTATATAAATAAAATTTGATTGATTGATTGATGCCAGCAGTTGATACAGTGGCAGCCAGAACCATATGAGCTTAAGTGAGGGTGCAAGACCAAGAGCTGTATTCATATCTGTTGGGTCTAAAACCTGCAACATTTACCTGATAACATATAAAGAAGAGAAAGACAATGGTATATACTCGAGGAGAATGGACCGAGATAGCTTCAGGTACCATCTCGAAACCACTCTGAAAGGTATTTCCGCCCAGTCTCTTTTATTTAGGGTTCTCCCTGGTCACACAATGTTTCTAAAGGGTGGGGAAAAATTTGTGTAGCAACATAAGCACTCTCATAAAGCATAATAATGAACAACTGTGAATATGTGAAGGTCAAGGCGGCATCTAACGAACTCCTTCTGATAAGAGCGGCTCCTCTTCTAATTTCCATGATTCACAGCGGAGGATACTTCACCCCCACACCCACACCTGCTGATAGGAAAAAAACACGGTCACAGAAAACTGAAAGAAACATTGTGTACTGTGTAGTTAAGCTATTGAAGAGAGAAGTTAGGAAACACTCTTATATGATAAAAATACTCTTATATAATGCATAAAAAGATGTCAAAGCAGTTTATACTTGTAGTATAAACTCTTACATATGAATATGAGGAATAATGATAACTTCTATATACATTTATGCACATTATTCTAACATTTCCCTCCTGTTTATCATTACTTTACTCAAATTCTCATAGTCCCTCTAGTTCAGCCACTTCTCTCGATTTTCAGCTGCGAGTTCCTGTTTATGACTACAAAGAATTTACACAGGGAGGAACAAGATGTTGCTTTAGTCAGAATTATACTCATCATCCGGACTGGGGCACAGGTCAGGCCATTGAGTGTCATCAAGTCTGTCCTCCTCGTCCTGCTGATGGAGCAGCGGGTACAACTCCTGCATCTGCTGCTCCACAGGGGACAACGCTGTGGTGATAAGACGGTTAAGAAGAGAACAAATACAGAAATACAACAACATCCACACAAGGTCAAATTAGCTGCAAAAACAGCAACAGAGATTAGGACTGAATCTACAAGATTTCTGTATTTTCCAAAGACATTCATCCAATCGTCCCAAAAGGAGTTATCTATTCCTGAGTGGTCTTTCATTTTGCCATTAAGCTTTTTTAGGCCCTCTATGGCTCGAGTGAGGCTGCCATCAGCAGCAGTGTTATCAGGAATGAACGTGCAACACATTTCTCCAAACATGGCACATACACCTCCTGTTTCTGCGAGCAGCATGTCAAGGGCTATACGGTTTTGGAAAGCCATCAGGGATGTTGCAGATAACTGCGAGTGACCGGTCCTAAAAACCAGCCTCAGTCCAATTACCTAGCTTTTGAACGTTGAAATGGATGTAGTTGATTCTGATTTGATCTATATTTTTGTTCATTGTACACCAAGGACAGACGAGAGACTCAAAGCCTGCAGAAACTTGATTTACTAGTTTATACTCATCTGGTACCTCACGAGGAACTATCTATATAAGTCGGGTCTGACTCTGTTTACTAGTTTCTTTTACTCTGGAGTGGCTCAACAAAGGAATAAGACTAACTGCAGAGGTTAAATTTGCCACACTGGTCTGGAAAGTTACAACAGTTAGGATTAAGGTCACTAAGGCCCTATTACCAGTCTGCTGTCATTCAGGTACAGCTACAGAAAACACATACACTTTTGTTATGGTTAGGGAATTCCTAGTACAGACATAGAAGTTAGACTGATTCTTCATTTTTACTAGATATTTTTGCATATCTGTACCACATGTTCACTTCAAATAAGTTTTTTTATTATGATTTATTGAGAGGGATTGCGGAGCATTCCCACTATATTTTATTCATATCTTTATTCATATTATTCTTCCACCATTTTTTTTTAAATTAATTTTTTTTAATTTTTTGATGTACCTTTAATAAACATAAGTATAAGTGTTTATTGATAAAACAAGCATACACAAAATCCCATTGTAAACAGAATAACACAAACGCCTAGTAGCAGTTAAGCTATGGTAAAGTTCTCAGTGTCTTCACCGCATGAAGCAACTGTGGTGTCCGTCTGGGTGATTCATACCCCTGCTCACTGTCTCTCAGGTTTCCTCTCTGCACATGGTCGCCTTCAGAACAGCTGAATGTGATTTTTGATTGGTTGTCACACAGGATGTGAGGACTATTGTTGTTGTCACTTCTCTTTCCTTCCTTAAGTTCATCTGAAGTTGTAAATAATGTTTTAGTAGGTAAATTAACAGTATCAGGTTTAGCAGAAGTAAGATACTTAACTTCCCCATTTTCCTAAGCTCCTAAGGAATTCAACACCATCTAATCTTCACTGACATTGAGACGAACGCCCACTATAAGGACGCCCCCCTTTGAAGTCAGACTTTCCTAACTAAAACCCATATAGGTTTTTTTTGCAATGGGAAAGATGTATCCAATTACTTCTTTGTGCTATTTTTACTGCTGTGGGTGTCCTTAGCAGTACCCTTTTTTTTTATTCCTTCCACTTCCTTCAACGTATTCAAAACCATTCAAACTTCAGGAGATTTCAGCTTATATTCAAAATTTTCCTAACATTCATACTTTCTGAGATAGTCCAGGTTTTCCAACCAATTTTTCTTATTAGAAATATATTACGGAATTTTTAAATTGGCCCTTTTCTCACATTTTCTTTACACAACTTTAAAAGCCTTCAACTCCTCTATACTTCCAGATTATGATCATTTTAATTTTTCAGTTTTAAATCATTTCATTCTTCACTCAGTATTCAATTTTTTCAAACTAATTCCAACTCAATTAAACTGATTTAAACTTTTTTGAATCTTCAAATCTCATCTCTTTCACATAATTTTTGAACTTAAACCATTTACAATAGCAGCTTAGCAATTACAATTTTAGCTCAAGCAATCCATCTCGCAATTTCTTCAGAAATAGCATTTTCTAGTTATTATTTATTTATTTCATTTACAAAATGAGTTCCATTGTCACTGTAGATTCGTTTTGGAATGCCAAATCAAGAAATTATTTCTCTACGCAGGATTTTTGCTACTGTTAATGCATCTGGATTGGTGACAGGAAATAATTCTATCCATTTAGTGAAAGGATCTATTAACACTGAACAGTATTTCTTTCTCTCACACTGATTTAATTCTATGAAGTCCATGTGTATGGCTTCAAATGATGCATTGGTTGGTGGAAATTTGCCTCTGTTTGGTTTTATACTGTCTTGAGCATTATGTCTACCACAAACTGAACAAATCAAATAGTTAATTATTATTATTATTTTTTTAAATAATTTATGAATCAATAGGGGGTAAAATGTTGATTAACTACGACACACATCCCTCCTGTCGAGACATGGCAAGGCCCATGACTCGCTATTACTGCCTTTAAAGCTCTCTCTGTTTGCTGATCAGACAAAAATCTTTCGTTTGGAAAACCTAATCTGTGGCAGTTTATGTCCAAGAGCTGTTTTTTTTTTTTCTTTTTATACTGGAGTCACACAAAAAGGTTACAGGTAAACCATGAATCATTAGCTATATCTGCGGTTTTATGTCTGCATAATGTATTCCTTTTCCAACAAACTGTTGCAGCTCCGCTGTCGAAGGGACAGATAGAGGAAACCTGTCCTGCCACAAGCTATTGCACTGTTAAATAACTCACATATGTCAGACAGGGACTCACACCTGTCTGCTTTATAGTACTTTTACAAAAAAAAAAAAAAAACTCCTATCACATCATATTTCCGAGCACCTTAAATCGTCTGTATATCTATCATCCCATCTGTAATATTTCTCATTCCATATTTATTACTCATTTCATATTTATCACTCATTTCATATTTATTACTCATTTCAATAGCCCACGTTCTTCATATCTCACTTTTATCTCTTAGGATATTTAGCCTGTATTTCTTATATATACTTAGTATTTTTAGTCTGCATTGTACCTCTTATATTTAGTTTTATATTTTCTTTTTGCTGCTATAACAAGAGAATTTCCCAGTTTGGGATCAATAAAGTATATTTATCTATCTATCTATCAAAAACATATATATATTTATTTATCTTCTTCAAGTTTAGCACTTCTTCCTCCTCTGTCTCCTCTCTGTTCACACTTTCTCTTCATTTCTGTCAAATAACACTTGCTGTCTCTCCCTCTTCTACTCATGCTTGATACTTTTTTCTACAGCTCTTCACCTAGTGACCAAAGCTCTGCAATTCTCTGATGTTGTGGTTCACGACCTTGGTCAGGGTACTGTTCTTCACCTCTCTGCTCTTGTGATTCATAACCTTTGTCAAAATGTCTACTTCCTCTATCGCCTTCTCTATTGAAATTCCTGCCTCTTAACCTGCTTCTTTCTTGTTCTCTCTGTCATAGTCATCAAATGGTTTATCATCTCTCTTATTATCCCATAGTCGTCCTATTTATCTCATATAGTATGAAATTCATTGTCACATTTGGAGTTAATCTTACGTTAAATGGTATTATAGGGAGGGCTTTAATCCCAAGTTAGCTTTGGTGTTCTCTGCACTTTACTATGGTTACTTCTTTAAGTTCCAATAAGGTATAATATCAATCAGTTGGTTCAAATGTTTAACAGGGATGCCAGCTGAGGTCAGAAAACCTCTTCTTTTCCAACGACACTTCTACATGTACAACTTGCACTTCATAGACTGTAACAGTTAAGTCACAGTTTTGTCTTTTAATAGCTACATGCTTCTGCATAGGGAGGGATTCTTTGGCTGCTGTGTCTCTGGAGAAGTCAAGGTCGTAACTGGCCCCCGATGAATCATTTTATCATTTGTGCAGAGAACAGAGACTGTACAGAGAATTTAACTTGCTAAAAATTTGCAGTCTGCATTAAACCTTTCTGCCTTTTTAACTACCTTTTCTACCTTTCATTTCTGCATTATTATCAGTATTATTTTTATTATTATTATTATTAAAGTTGTCTTTACTTATAGCTTTTGATCTCGTCCTGACTGCTCACGCCTTCCTCCCTTTGATTTGTTCTTGCAACTGCGGGCTATATGTCCCTCCTTTCCACATGCCCAGCAACCTGTCCCTCTTTGATTTGCTCCTCCTGGTCTGGGCCTATCTTGTAGTTTATTTAATTGGCTTGTTCTTAGGCTGCCATCAAATCCAAATTTTAGTTACCCATAATTCGAGGAATTGTAATTTTTTGGGCTCTGTCTGGAAAACTTTCCAGTCTTGACTTTTTAGTTTGTCTAATTTAGCCTTACTGGCTCCCGTCCCCATTTTTATGTGTTTTGGTCCAGCTTAGGTGACACCTAGGGTGTCCTATTAAGCTGGGTTCTTTCAATGGGGTAGTGATAAAAATTCCTTATGTGGTAATTCTCGCTTCTAATCTTACGAGTGGAGAATTCTTGCCTTTGCTTCCACAATAAGGTCACTACTTACAATCCCACTGTTTTGGTATGAATAGGATATATCTAGTGATATATCTCTATTCCAATCACTCTCACACTTTCACAATCACACTTTTAACACGTGTTTTGTTCTGCAGAATTTTCTCAATCAGGCCTTTGTCCACGGTACAACACCGGACCCGCGCGTCTTCTTTCAATGGATTTGTAGGACCCGTTCATCCTTATTTAGCAGATTTGTAGGACCCGTTCGTCCTTTTCAACGGATTTGTAGGACCTGCCCCTCCTTCGAATCTCAATCATTCCACGTTCCTTTTTATAAAAGACCAACTCACCACTTGTCTTTCCCCTTGGCTTCGGATTTCCGTCAACCGTCGGATCCCAGCAGGCGGATCGAGTCCAGTTCCTCGAAGAGGTCTTTAAGACTCATCCTAAAGAGTCTGCCGTGGCAACGGTCTTATCTGTCATCCACCTCACCTGCTGGAATCGTCAGGTCTATTGGAATCCGGCTCGAAGGACCAAAGAAATGTTGGGTCTAAAATCTGCAACATTTACCTGATAACATATAAAGAAGAGAAAGACAATGGTATATACTCGAGGAGAATGGACCGAGA